CTCCTTCAGTGTAGTCGAGTGAGCCAGGGGTATAGAGGCAAACTGGTTGCCGTTGTGTAGCAGAACACATTTCAGTGATCGCTTGCTGCTGTCAATGAACAGTCTCCAATCTTTGGGTTCGTACTGTGGCACTCCAAGATTGAGCAGAAGCTGCACAATATCTGCACAGTACACCAAGTCCTTCTCTTCCGAGAAAAAACAGAGGTACTCTTGATGCCTGTTGCGGAAGAAGCTGATGCGAGCACTGTCAGAGAGGAGGTTTTTTTCCTTCAATCTGGATGCCAACAGTTCGGCAGAATCCTTTGACAAGCTGAGGTCGCGAACTAGATCATTCAACTCCTTTTGGGAAAATGGATGTGGAGCATCATCTTCAAGAACCACTTCTTCTTCTTCATGTCCTTCAACACTGGCGGCATCTTCGTCACTAATGTCAGGAAGTTCTCCAAAGATAGGCACTGGAATTTCATCACAATGAGCTACAGGAAGATGTGCTGATTGAAGATCAGGATACTTGAGGCTGCTCTGGTTCTTTCTGTTGATCCCAGTCACATCAACAGTGCAGAAGTAGCAGTCAGTGACATGGTTTGTCGGCTCCCTCCAAACCATGGGAATTCCAAAGTTCAGGCTCCTCTTGCCATTGGTCCACCCACGTAGAGTCTCGGTGCATGCCTTGCACACCATGTGTGGTGCCCAAGCTTTATCCTGGTCACCAAGTTTAATACCAAAATAAGCATGGTAAGCATGCCTTATGAGTTTCCTAAACACTTCATGGGGCGGCTGCCCCATTAACTTAGTTTTTATCCCCCAACTTTATGCTTTGCCGCACCAATTTATGGAAGATTTCGAGGTTTTATGACTTCAAACTGATCCCTTTTCAACATAATCACCCAGAACTATTGGACCTGAATACTTCTTGTCATTAAAATAATCATTTCCAATCAAAACAATTATTCGACATGGCATTTTACCCCCACCAACTTCTTCTAAAATGCTCCACACAAGCGTACATGTGAACAAAAATGTAAAAAAACGACATGTGGACATAACTCAAAAACTTGACCTGATTGAGCAAAACCAATGTGATTTTTGGAATCAGCGCATTAGATTCGTCCTAAATCAACTGAAAAAACGCAGACAACAAATTTGTTGTTGACCAGTGTAATAATAATAATAATTTATAATCCATAAAACAGCATCAACAACACTAACAGAAAAGCAACTTTTAAAAAACGAGCCAAGCACTGCAATGTTCAGCCACGCAGCTGGTATGAGGCATTCTGGCACAGTATGAGAGACTGCAAACACCAGCTCACTTGAGGGCATAAATCAGTGGTGCAGATTAGAAGGGATGTGTGTTTTTGGACACTGAGAACAGAGGGCTGGCTCTTGGACCTCACTTTGCAAAACTCAAGCCACTCTGCAAAGCCACAATGAGCCCAAATGCCTGTAAAAATTACCTGTTGCCCCTAAAGAGGAGGCGGTGTGCATTAATCTCAAGAGCAGCATCGCTCTCCCCCAAATCCTCAGAAATGAAAGGGACCTGGCAGTGACTTCATCGTGTAAGCAGCACAGTGGAAAAATGGCAGTCTTTGTCTACACCTAAATATCCAAAAGACAGCAGCCGGTTTTGGTTCAAAGCCGCTTGTCATAAGTGGGTGTAATCATGCGCGTTGGTGAGCTGCAAATTAAATCCAGAGCACCGAAACAGCAAACTTGCTCCCTCATCCAGCACAGTTTCATTTCAGGGGTCTCTCCAGAGGCTGGGCTTTACCACCATCAAGGCTTTTCTCTTTTTTTCGGGTGGGGAGGTGCATTAAAGACAGAAACGTTCCAGGAGTTCAGCAAAAGTTAAAACAAACCTGCGTAATGTGAAACTCGGGGCTGGAGCAGAGTGGAAAGTCTGCTTCCCCGCCTGCCCTGCCCCCACCAGATGGAAGCAAGCCCCACCCCAAGACCATCCTGTAAAGCAGCGAGCTTCTGTTGGAGCGAGGCTGGCTACACCAGCCCTCTCCAGGGGCCTGCTATGGCTTTCCAATAAAGCTGTAAATTAGAGACAAAATAAATAAAATTCGGGGTGGGGAGGATGAAAATGGCGGGGGTGGGGAGCAGAGGCCAGAAGGAAGTGACCTTCCCTTTAGTTAAGTAGGTGTGAGGTGGGTCTTAGCAAGGAGCTGTGGGAGAGGCCCCTGGATTTGGGGAGCTCCTGGGGGCAGGAGGAAGCCCATCTCAAAGCGCTGGCCTCGGCTGCAGCTACAAGGCGCCCCTTCGACCTCAGCCCTGGCAAATCGTATCCAAGAAAGGCAGTCCTTTGCTCCAAGAAAGAAGAGTGAGCCTTCAAGGCAAAGGAGACCTGTTTCTGCTGAAGGGGCAGGCCTGCAGGGCCAGGGCATGCTCAGATTTTCCACTTCATTCATGCCTCCCGAGTTTTCTTTGACTTCAGCAAGGTTTGCAGTGAGTTCCCAAAGCAGGGCCTTCAGAAGCCATCGATGGAGAGTTGGAGATGCACGTCACAAGCAAGCCATTGACCAAACACGTTATTTCTGATACTGTGGGCAGAATAAGCCCTCTCTTCTTGAGAACCATCATCTTCAGCACGGCTTTCCCTCTCCCAAAAGACGCGAGCAGAGGACTATCCGTGGCTATCAGCCATGACAGCTCGGCTCTGCCTCTATGGTCAGGGACAGCAATACTTCCGAATGCCACTTCAGGGCCAGCCAACCCATGAGACAGGCTGACACAGCTGCCTCAGGCGGCAGAACCCCAAGAGGTGGTGCCCCACCTACACTGACGCCTCCATCGCTGGTGGAGAAGCAGCAGTGGCTTCTGGCAAGATGTCGTCAAACTCTCATGCAATCTTGTGCGCTCCATGAGAGCTTGAGAAATTTTGGCAAGATCTTGCCAAACCCCACTATCCCCACTGTTTCACAGGTGCTACCACACATCCCAGGTAAGGGAGATGGGGAGGGGGCAGTTGGCTGCAGGGAAGCTGGGGGGAAGAACCTCACCATTCTGCCTCAGATGCCCAAACATCTGGGAAATCCCAGAGAGTGGTATTGCGCTCAAATCCTACTTGTAGGCTTCCCATTATGGCATCTGGTTGGCCCCTGTGAAAACAGGTTGCTGGACTTGATGGGCCACTGGCCTGATCCTGCAAGCTATTCTGATCTTATATAATATGTGCTAGAAAGGCCTTCCCTACTTGCAGAAGAGGAATGCATGCGGTTTTTGAAGGTGGAGCTCTGCTTGGGATTCTGTAGTGCTACCAGGTTTAGACTTCACTTAAGCGTTTGTCAGAAGTTAGGGCTGGTGAATCGGCCAAATCCAGCTCTCCCACTTTAGCGTATTCATTTGCAATTATTATTTCTGAGTCATGAAAATTCATATTTTCCTAATGCACACGTTGCTGTATGCAACGTTGCCTTAGGTACACGTTTTGAGGAAGGAAATTTTCCCTGTTACACTATGCATTTTTATGTAATATTTTCACTAACATGCTAAGTGTTTGCATAGTTGCACACGTTGCACTAAATGTTTGCATATTTGCACGCATTGCATGGCTGCAGAACGGCACTCCAAAATTCGGAGACGTGTGAATTTTGTAGGATGAGTTATGTTTCAGTTCACATGTTGTTTGGGGAAATGTGGATGAGGTAGGTTCTCTTTTAAATGCAAACTGAATTGCGTTTCTCCAAGGGTTACCCAGCCTCACCTCCTTTTTTCTCCCAGATGAGAAATGTTTCCCTCCCGCTCTCCTGGGAACTCCCCATCTTCCCATCTCCCTCTTTCCAGTGCTTGTTATCTCTCCAGTTTCCTCCCTCCCTCTTGCACCCCTCATTCTCTCCTGTGGCCAGGCTGGCTTTCTGCTTTCCTAACAGAAGCAGGATAGCTCCCTTTGCTATAGAACTCGCTGCCCCATGTCTCCAGTATGATGTCTTCGGACAGCTGTGATCTATCTGAAGAACGATGCACACAATCAGATGTTACGGGCATGTACTCCTGGTCTTTAGAAACCCCATCAAGGAGCTTGGGGTGCATGGGGGCTGCCTCAGTTGCACTGTCTGTAACAGGGCTTTTCTGTGCATGAAAGACGAGAAGCAGGATGGGAGGATTAAATCTCTCTCCCCCCTACCATCTCCCACAAACCAAATGATTTGGCACTCATTTTGGGACCCTGAACTGGCTTCTGGGTGGAGCCTTTCAGCCCAGAGAAATGTACATTATCAGCAGCCAATTCAGCAGTGCTGAAGGCAGACCGTTTGTGGATATGCCTTTGCATTCTCAGGGGTTTTCATGGGTCGTTATGGATCAGCCTCTGAAGAGACTCTGTATATGACCCAAAGGTGGCCAGCCTTGAACATGGAAACAGGGAAGTGGTAAATTGAACCAGCGCAATGGATTTTCATCCCACCCGTGTGTGTGTGTGAATATCTACTGCTAATAACGTAATTATCACTGTCTGGACTTGTCTGCTTTTCATTACCTTCCAACATCTCTGTTTACAGTTCCCATTCCCTACCTTCCATATATTTTTTGCAACCTGGGAAAACACTTGATGCATCTGATGAGGTTGAACTGCAGAGACCCACAGACACATTTGTGAGTCTTTAAGGTGCCGCAAGATGACACAAGCACACTTCCTACCCCTCTGGAGATTTATTTCTGCTGTTTGTTCTTGTATCAGCCCATTCACTTCAGTTTTCGTGGCTCTATTTAGCAGTATTGAATTTTACTGGCTTTTATTATGTATCAATGTTTTTTTTAAAAAAGTATAGCCAAATGTGGAAGCAGAGTCGAGTCATCATGACTAGTAGCCATCGGTAGCCCTCTCCTCCTTGTGGGAGGGAGTTCCACAGTTTAACTCTGCTCTGCGTAAAGAAGGACTTTCCCTCATCTGACCTGAATCTTCCAGAATCCAGCTACATTGGGCACCCACAAGCTTCTAGCGTTGTGAGAGAGGAAGAACAACTGATTCAAGTTTGAAACAAAGGACAATAGTAAGGTCTGGAGATTCAACATTTTTTTTATTATTATGGAAGTCTATAAAATAGCCACATTGATATTTTTTCCCCCTTATAAGATCACGAAATACACAACATCCATTTATTCAACACGTCACAGGGGCGGGTTTGCTGGGACGCCCCCAATGAAATTGACGGGAGCCCCCACTCCAAGCAAAGCAGCAGGGCTCCCAGTTCTTTCAGCCGAGCGTTTGCAAGAGAAATGGAGATTCCAGGTAGACCAAGCTCAATATTATATACACATGAAGAAACCACATGACACAAAGCACGTCTTCACACGGCACCGTGAAATACCCCTAACCAACAGGTGCTTATTTCTTTCAATATTAAGAAACGACAGACACAATATGAGCAATGGCAAGGGGGGAGTATCTCCTGCACAACCCTTAGGGAAAGGGCACGCCAACCATTCACTGCCATGAGAGTGGCACAGGAGAAGCCCACCCCCCGCAACTCCTTCCATATTGGGCCACATGCAAATAAAACCATATTAATTGCTTTCTTTTCCCTTGCAGACAAGTTTTTTCTTTGTTGTTGTTTTACAATAAAGAAGGAGGCAGAGCAGGGGTGAGATATCCCATACTTTACTAAATAACAAATATTTTTTTCTTAAAAAAAAGAAACAGGCGAACTTTTTTTTATACTAAATATCTATTTTGAATTATAACAAAAATAGTACTTATAATAATAATAACAATAACAATAATAAGTTTATAAACTCAGACCAAAAAACAAAAACACCACACCACCTTTGTGTATAAAATAATATAGCAAATTGGAACTGTGCCAGCAAATTAAAAAAAGACACACAAGACAAGACACATATTCTGAGACTCAAAAGTGCTTCATCCTGCAAACTGCAGTAACAATTTTAATATCTTTTCTTTTTTTTAGTCAAGTTATATTAGTTAGGAATGGTAAATCGAACAGGAGCTATCCTTGCCTAGATACAACGCACACGTATGCATATATATATAAAGTTTATAAATGTATGCCTCTTATATTTCTCCCCTCCCCCCCCCATTACTGGTCCATCTTCTGGTGGGCTGCTCAACTTGCAGTGAGCATGTCTTTTCCTCTGCTTCACATCAGAGCATGTATTTTCATGCTCCACTTTCCTCGCCATGCCTGGGTCGACCGCCGCCCCATCGTTGGCCCACGCACCATTTGAAGAGTGCTGTCCCAGCACCCTCTGCAAAGGATTGTGGGGTGCGCCCCTCAAAAGGGCAAGCGGCTTCACTGACCGCCCCGCCCCTCAACAATGTTCCTGCTGCCAGCCCAGCAACCAACCTCACAAGTTGCCCACTGGACACAAACCTCAGCACTTTTATATATCTGTGGATGGCATAGATCTGCTGTATTGTGGGAGGGAACAGGTTGGGAGACCTTAGGGAGGGGGAAAGGGAAGCCAGAGCTGATCTTGTTAACGGAAACAAAAGGCAAAGGTGGATTTATCTTTAGAATCATAGGACGGTAGAGTTGGAAGGGACCCTGGGGGTCATCTGGTCCAACCCCCTGCAATGCAGGAAAAAGAAGGAGGAGAGTTTGGATTTGACACCCCACTTTATCACTACCCTGAGGAGTCTCAAAGCGGCTCACATTCTCCTTCCTGCCCCACAACAAACACTCTGTGAGGTGAGTGAGGCTGAGAGACTTCAGAGAAGCGTGACTGGCCCAAGGTCACCCAGCAGCTGCAGGTGGAGGAGCAGGGAATCAAACCTGGTTCACCAGATTACAAGTCTATCGCTCTTAACCACTACACCACACTGGCTGTCCTACACCACACTGAGTGGTGTGGGGGACCCTCCCTCCCCCCAAACTAGGAGGTCTGCCCGTATTAGAGAACAAAGGATGCAGAAGAAGGAGGAAGAGGAGGAGGAGGAGGAGTTTAGATTTGATATCCCGCTTTATCTCTACCCTGAGGAGTCTCAAAGCGGCTCACATTCTCCTTTCCCTTCCTCCCCCACAACAAACACTCTGTGAGGTGAGTGGGGCTGAGAGATTTCAGAGAAGTGTGACTGGCCCAAGGTCACCCAGCAGCTGCTTGTGGAGGAGCGGAGATGCGAACCCGGTTCCCCAGATTACAAGACTACTGCTCTTAACCACTACACCACACTGGAATCTCAGCTAAAGCAGGGTTTGCAATCCTATTCCGTGCATCTTAAGACTTATGCCTCACCAGGAGTGAAAAAGAGGATGGAAGCTGAGCAGACCAGCCTTGTGCCCCCAAAATGCTTTGCCCCAAACTTCTGAAGGGCAGCGACGGCTCAAGTCAGGCCCTGAGCATACAGTGGTTAATTTTGGGGTGGGGAAAGTGCCAGGGCTCAAGCCCGTCAAGGAAGTTATTTATTTGCTTATTTTTTTCATTTATTTCTTACATTTATATACCACTTTTTCCTCCATGGAGTTCCAGGCAGCCTGCATGGTTTGCTCCCTCCCACCATTTTGTCCCCAAAACAACCCTCTGAGGTGTGTTAGTCCAACCCCTAGATGGCAGCTAATGATTTGGCATTTGAATTGGCTTTGATAAAAGAATAATATTCCTTGCTTGCTTGCTTCCTGCAATCCACAAGTCCCAGGGGCTTTGAGAGTTTCCCTGCAAACTGGGCATGGCCTGAACTCTCTTGACTGGCCACAGCTAACCAGGGAGGGCTGCTCAAAAGTATTTCAGCTGCACAGAAAGCGCCTCCAGAATTTACCCTGTTTCTCCATGGTTTGGAACTTTGCTTTCAGACATGACTGGTTCTGAACTCCCGCAACTGATGAGGAGGTTATGGGATCTGAGAGCCTGCAACACGTCAGAGCAACCACTTGGGTCCAAGGATCAACAATAATATAATTATTTTTTTCAAAAGCAACAACAACCACCTGATGGTAAACATGGCTAACAATGTAGGCAACCATTGTTCTGAATTCAAAGGATGGCCCCAGAAATGTGGCTACTTGATTGGAAACCCATTTCCTTAAATAGAAATTTCCTTAAATAGATGGGGGGAACCAGGGATGGGGGCTTTCCCCATGGCAGGGTGTGTGAGAGTGTGTGGGTTCTCTCTCTTGCAAAGTAACGGCAGTTTGGCTTAAGGGCGCAAGAGCACATTAAACACTCAACCGTGCCTAAGGGAAGTCTATGCAATGATCACCATGGCTTTGGGTTGGATGGTGGATGGCAGGATGGGACCAACAGAGGATTTAAACATGGGCGGCAGAGAATCAGCTCCAGAAAACCGTATTTTGCTCCTGAACCCCATTCTCGACATTTGTCACTGACCCTCGTTATCATAGTTAGGAGGTGGCCACAGGCTTTGAAATTTGGCTGGTGATCAGAGAGTTTTGGTGCTCCCCAGACACAGAGAAGCTTCTTCTCATGAGAGTCCACAGGTCAGTTCTTCAATATTACACTTCCACAGCAGTGATTTTAAAACAGGTGTCTTAAAATCAGCCGGAAGAACAGGCCAAGGAGTCTCAAATGCATGGACTCCAAAGTCCCCCCACGCTCTGCTGAAGATGGGCTCCTAACTCATGCCTAAACCTCTGGATAATTTTTAAAAATCCATGTTCTTCCTCAGCCGTTTTTCTGACAACTTCCCCATGCGTGTCTTCAACACACAAGGAGCTGAGCATCAATGTGGTGTATAGCAGTTCCAACGCCAGGCCCTGTTTAAGCAGACATCCTGGTACCTCCTGGAGCCATAGGATGCAGCAAAGCCGTCGCTATGGCAACGCAAAAATGTATTCCTCCCACCAACACACAATACTGACTTTAGCCAGACCCCACAGAGGGGGTCCTCTTGGCCACTCTCTCTAAAGAAAGCAAAAATAAAAAAGATATTCCCCGCAGGTCACTGACCAGTTTAACACTGATGCTTCGAAGGTCAGGATCTGCCAGAGGTCACTCGCTACCCCGACCCCGGTCAGGTAAGGCTTCTGACAGAAGGGCAGGACACCCAGACCTCCGGGGGCCAGCAAAGAGCAGGGGGTCCTGAACCCCAAGAAAGAGCAGCACGACAGCAGCAGCAGGAGCAGCGAGGAATCTCTCCTTGCAACAGAAAAGCTTCTGTTTCGGATTATATTTATATATTTATATATATTTATATATATGTGCATATATTAACATTTACGTACTGTTTATAGCCAAGACAATCCCCTTCTGCTTAGTGTTAAAACAAAACAAAACAAAACAAAACAGAATCCATCCAGGTGGTCTCCGCAACCTGTTCCCCACCTGCCCACCCCTCGCGCTAATGCGCCACCGTCGTTTTGGCATATTCGTCAGAGAAGGCTTTGCCCAAGAGGTGTCAGGCGGCAGGTCTCCATCGTCCATGGCAAGCTGGGCTTTTCCCTTTCCATTCCTCCATTCTGGGGGCCCTCAACCTCCCCAACCAAGAGAAAGCAAACCGAGGGTCCGGTTTACACAGTGGCGCCCAGCATGGCTTCTGTCTCTGTCAAGATTTCGTTCTGGTTCGAGTCGAGTCCGAAAAACTTGACCTTGAGCCCGTCCACCGGGTGGACGACGGGCACCAGCGTGATGCGGGGGAAAGTTCTGGTGGCCAGCTCAAAGCGGCTGGTGCTGGCCAGCTCGATGGCCAGAGCCTTGAGGAACAGCTTGGCCAGGTGCTTGCCCAGACAGGTCCTTACGCCTCCGCCAAAAGGAAGGTAGTGGAACCTGCCGTCTTTGTCTTCCGTGCGGCCCTGGGCAAAGCGGTCGGGGTCAAACACGTCCACATCCTTGAAGACGGGAGCCGTGTCGTGAGTGTCCCGAATGCTGTACATGACACTCCAGCCTTTGGGGATTTGGAAACCCTGTGGAGGAGGAGGAAGAGGGGGAGGAAGAGGAGAATGTAAATTAGGTTTGAATCTGTTTTCAGTTTACTGCAGATTAATAATAATAATAATAATAATAATATTACCCTGCCCATCTGGCTGGGTTTCACCAGCCACTCTGGGCAGCTCCCAACAGAATATTAAGCACAATAAAACATCAAACATTAAAATCTTCCCTAAACAGGGCTGCCTTCAGATGTCTCCTAAAAGTCAGATAGTTGTTTATTTCCTTGACATCTGATGAAAGGGCGTTCTACAGGGGGCACCACCACCGAGAAGGCCCTCTTCTCGCAGGGAGGGAACTGCCAGCAGGCCCTCAGAGCTGGACCTCAGTGTCCGGGTGGAACGATGGAGGTGGAGATGCTCCTTTAGATATACTGGGCTGAAGCCATTTAGGGCTTTAAAGGTCAGCACCATCTTCTAAAAGTCAGATAGTTGTTTATTTCCTTGACATCTGATAGGAAGGCGTTCCACAGTGTGGGCACCACCACTGAGAAGGCCTTCTGCCTGGTTCTTTTGAATGTTTTAGCATTTGTTCTTTTTCCCCCCCAAGACATTTTTTTAGTTTTGCAAATAAAGGGTACAAATAAACTAAATAAATAATATTTATTTATTTGTTTGTTTGTTTGTTTGTTTGTTTATTCATTCATTCCCCACCCATCTGGCTGGGCTTCCCCAGCCACTCTGGATGGCTTCCAACAAAATATCAAAATACAATGATGAGATAAGAGACTTATTAACAGACTGGTTACAGTCTCACAAATGAAATGACATATTTAAGATAGACCAGTTGCCCTTTATGAGAAACCTGCAAGCTCCAGCAATGGACATTCAGAAGCATCGCTGCCTCTGACAACGGAGGCGGAGTGCAGCCATCGAGGCTGGGAGCCAGATCACTTTATAAAGGTAAAGGGACCCCTGACCATTAGGTCCAGGATCCCTTTAAGCAGCTGTGCATTTGGTCAATTTCCATTTCGGTAGGCGTGTCCCCTGGGGAAACTTTTACGGAAAAGGGAAGCAACTCAATGGAGGCACAATATGCAAGGCGTTTTGCTCTATACAGAACTGAACCCCACGCCAGGTGCAGCAGATCTCCTGCCAGGCCCCCTTCCTCACGCAGCGAGCCAGAGATGGGTTCTAAGGCAGGTCTCCGTACTCACGTCCAGCTCGAAGGTCTGCAAAACCGTCCGGTACCCTCCAGAGATGGGGGTGAAGAGCCGCAGGACTTCCTTGATGACGCAGTCCAGGTAGAGGAGGCTGCTGATGGTGTCCAGCTGGAGGGAGCCCTCGCAGAGGCACCCGTTGTGGAGGATGCCTTTGCTCCTCAGCTCCTCCCGGAGCTTTTCCAGCACCCTGGGGTGCTTCAGGAGCTGCATGATCAGGGAGGTGCTGGCGCTGGCCGTAGTGGCGTAGGCGGCAAAGATCAGCTCGAGGGTGCCGTCCTGAAAGGAGAGAGAGACGTGTGTTGCGAGTGAGAGAGAGCCAGCACGGTGTGGTCAGTCCCATGGAGTCACGGGTTCAAATCCCCATTCTGGCATTCTGGCGCCCTTGCATTATAGGATTGCTTTTGGACCAGGGAAGCAGCTTGTTTGCCCTCTGGGGGGCTGGAGGGATTTTCATTCCCCTTATCAAAGTTTGCCTTACCCACTGGACCACTTTAGCCTGTGAAACTGGCACTCTTGCAGGCCCCACATAATACCCGACCCACATTTGGGAAGCACTCAGTCTTGCAGTGTGGCAGCACCTAAACCCTGGAACTCCCTGTCTATTGAGAACAAGCAGGCAATTCATGTACAAGTAGATGTTCAGGTTACGAACGTGATCCATGCAGGAAGCACATTCGCGACCCGCAGCGCCGTGTCTGCGCACACGCGGGGCGTGATTTGGCGCTTCTGCACATGTGCAAGCACTGAAACCCGGAAGTAACCCTTTCCTGTACTTCCGGGTTTGGCGCAGTGCACAAACCCGAAATCACGCAATCCGAAGCGTCTGTAACCCGAGGTATGACTGTACTATTTTGCTGCCTGCTTAGACAAGGCTCCACAGACATGTAAAATGTGGATGCACGTTTTTAGTAGAATGTTTCAATGAGTTGTTTTTATGGATTTTGTTCTCTTTCTAAACTGCTTTAAGGTGGGTTTCTTTCTTTCTTTCTTTCTTTCTTTCTTTCTTTCTTAAAAAATAAATGAATCCTTTTAATTTCCCTTAAAGTTCCAACAGATTTTACACATTTTGACTGATTGATTGATTGAGTGAGTGAGTGAGTGAGTGAGTGATTGACTGAATTTATTACTTGCCCTCCCTCCCAAAGGAACCCGGAGCAGGAAACACATCAGAAACAAAACAATACGATAAAAACAGCCCGAAACAATCACCTAAATAAAAACAATTAAAAACACTTGAGCCATTGTGGCTGATGCTGTTCAGCAGAGCAGCCATGAGACCACCAGCATCAAAAGCCCCTGAACTGAGTAGGACTGAGATGAGCTCTACCCCACCCACCCACTCAGGGCCTGTGACCCCCAACCTCCACAGCGCCCCGGAGGTGAGAAGCAGCAATGGCAGCGACAGGCAGCAGGGCATATCAAGAGTTGACTGATGCGCAAAGCCAGACAAGGCGCAGGGCTTCCTCTCCTAAAGAACCGTTTCTCACGGTTGTAGTATAGGAGAGGGAAGACCAGCCTCCCCCAGCCTGCTGCCCCCCAGGTTCTTCAGATGAGAGCATGGCTGGTGTTGACTGGAGGCTGTTGTGACTTAGCATCCAAATGACCTAGAGGTCCCCAGTCTGGAGAAGGTTGGCCAAGTTGCTATGGGAAGGCAGAGGACCCTCGTACCTACGGGACCGCCTCTCCCTGTATGCCCCTTGGAGGACCTTAAGGTCCATAAATAGCAACACCCTAGAGGTCCCGGGTCCTAAGGAAGTCAGATTAGCCTCAACCACAGCCAGGGCCTTTTCAACACTGGCCCCAACTTGGTGGAATGCTCTGCCTCATGAGACCAGGGCCCTGCAGGATCTGATTTCTTTCCACACAGCCTGTAAGACAGAGTTGTTCCGCCTGGCCTTTGGCTTGGAATCCACTTGATCTCCTTCCCCTCTTTCCTTTTTCCTTTCTCCTTCTGTGATGGAACTCCTATTTGGGGACTTCCCTGGCTTTTTTCTGGCCCACGTAGGACCAGTCTGGATAGTTGGCCTTGGTGAAGACTTGACGTTTTCATCCCCCAAAAAGTTTTTGGTTTGAGTTCCTACTGAAATGAGGCTGCATTTTAATGTTGTATTTTAATCTTGTTTTTAAGTTGTATTTCAATCAATTGTTTTTATATTTGGTGTTCGCAGCCCTGAGCCCGGTCTTGGCTGGGGAGGGCAGGGTATGAATAAAATTTATTATTATTATTATTATTATTATTATTATTATTAGAGCAACATAGGCAGCTGCTTTATGCTGAGTCAGACTATTGCATCCCATCTACCTCAATATTGTCTACACTGACCGGCAGCAGCTCTCCAGGGTTCAAGACAAGGTTCTCTCCCAACCTACCTAGAGCTCCTTTTGAGGATTGAACCTGCATGCAGAGGAGATGCTCTGCCACTGAACTACAGCCTTTCCCCCAGACCATGTTGTATTATTGCAGGAGAGGTTGTCTTTATCCTGTGCAAGAACAAGAGCCAAGGGCTCCTTGCGGCCACCCAGCCTCGACCCACCTTCAGTTCCTGCATGGTGAGCTCCTTGCCGTGTTCCTTGCCGCTTTCGATCAGGAGGTCCAGGGCGTCGGAGTAGTCCTTGCCCTGCGTGTTCTGCAGCTTTTCCCGGATGGCTTTCTCCAAGCTCTTCTGCAACAGCTCTCGAGCACGGATTCCCTGGAGGAAAAAGGAGGAGGTTGGAACCCAGGAAGAGCAGCTGCCACACAGCAAAGCCCACGTCCTGCTCTCTTCTCACTCTCAGCTCCAGCCTCCCCTGGAGCATCACAGAAGTATAGCAACCAGAGCCGTCTTTCCCACTGGTGTTAGTGGTTCGCTGCGCCAGGGCACCAGCCTCTCAGGGGCGCCCTAGCGAGTAGGGGAGCTGTGCGGCTGTGCCAGCAGCCTCCCCTTTCCCTGCACGCCCGCCAGCTGCACCCCGCTAACTATATGGCTGGTGGGCATGCAGCTTCCTTCCCAAGCCTCCTCAGGAGGAGAGCGACCCCTGCAGGGGCTTAGGATGGAAGCTGCGCAGCTTCCCTCCCAAGCTTCTGCAACTGCTAAAGACAGCCCTGCTCCTGGTCGTTGTCCTCCTCCTGCTTCCGGGCGAAAGGCGGCGAGCAGCCTTCCCAGGCTGCCTTCTCGGGCGCCCTGATGCCAGAAAGCATGTCCGCCAGCACGTTTTCCTGCTTGATCACCGCCACCATGCCGGGGATTGGGGTGGTGGGGGAGGCAGAGGACATTTTCCACCACCCCCTCCCTTGTTTTGGAGTTGCCAGGAGGGGCGCCGGAGGGATCTTTGCACCACGGCCCCGGATATGCTTAAGACAGCCCTGATAGCAACCCCAAAATCATCTGCTCCAGCCCCCTGCAATGCAGGAATCACAGCATCAGCAGGTGAAACACCCAACACCTGCAGGGAGAGGGAGAGCAAACGGCCCAGCTGACCCTCCAGAATCAGAGCCATCTGGACATGCTCCAAGATGCTCTGAACACTACCTAATAGGGAGGTCAGTATATTTCCATAATGTCTACTCTGCCTGGTGACAGCTCTCTGGGGTCTTGGGCACAGAGACAGCTCCCCTTCCCATCGCCTGCTTAACTGGTCACTTTCATCCTAAGGATCGAACCCAGCGCCTTCTGTAGGCCATGGTGTTCTTCTTCCAAGCCACTTCTCCTGACCAAGACATCTCTTACCTTCCGGTAGCCGCTAAAAGGCAGGTCCACAGGCAAGGAGAAGACGTTCTCCATGAACTGCTGGTAGACCTCAAAGAGCTGGCTGAGGTCTTCGTCCGGGATCCGGAAGCCCAGCAAGACCCGGATGGCCATGCGGAAGGTGAGCTGCTGGGCTTCATAGTAGACATTGATGGGATCCGGGTTGCTGCTCCATGCCCTCAAGGTGTCCTGGATCACCAGCTGGATCTTGGGCAGGTAGCTCTCCAGGGCTTCATGGCTGAAGATTTTGGAGAACACCTGAAATGGAAGGGACAGGTATATCAGGAAAACACCAGGGGAAACTTTCTGATAGTTCGACAGTGGAACAGACATTGCTCCTTGGCTGCCATTGGGCACAGGCAGGAATCACTGGCCCAGTTACACAGCTCCCCTACAAAGGAAGGTTGCAGGGTTTGGGCAAAGGCAAGTCGGAGGCAACATTGGAGAAGTTCATAAAATTATGTGCAGCATGGGAAATGTGGATAGAGAGAAAATGCTTTCTCCCTCTCTCGTAACACTTGGACTCATGGACGGCCAATGAAGTTGACAGATTCAGGAGAGACAAAAGTTAATCTATGGAACTCTCTCCCACAGGATGCCTTTGAAAAAGAATTAGAGAAATTCATGGAGGAGAGGTCTATGGATGGTCACTAGCCACAATGGCCATGTTCTGCCTTCACAGTTGGCAGCAGCAATAATGCTTCTGAACACCAGAGCCCTGGCACAGCGAAATGTCTTGGGCCAGCCTGGCCACCCCTGGCTGAGGGTTTCATTGGCAAGGAGTGGAGGGAATGGCATTGATGACCCAGATATCTGAACACCAAGAAAGGACGGTTAAGATACTTCTTCACACAGCACAAACGATGGAACTTGCATGAGGACATCAGAAGAGCATCCTGTTCTCAGAGCGGCCAACTAAATGCCAGTGGGAAACCAGGGAGCAGAACATGAGCCCAAGAGCAGGATTCTCTCCTCGCATGGATCCAGCAAGTGGTATTCAGAAGCCTTGCTGCTTCCAACTGTGGAGGACAGAGCGCAGCCACCTTTGCTAGGAGCCATCGACAGACATCTCCTTCTAAAGATGGCTTTAAAGGAGGATTCGACAAGCTCATGGAGGCCATCAGTGGCTCCTAGGCAGGATAGTTATGCTCTGTCTCCACAGCAATGCTTCTGAAGACCGGTCGCTGGAAGCCACAGGAGGCGAGTGTGTTCCTCTTGTGCGTGGATCCTGCTTGTGAGTTTCTGCTTGGGTCATCTGGTTGGCCTTTGTGAGAACAGGATGCTGGACATAACCATAACAACAACAACAACAACAACAACAACAACAACAACAATTTTATTTATACCCCGCCCTCCCCAGCCAAGACCGGGCTCAGGGCGGCTAACACCAGGTATAAAAACAATTGAGGATGCATTTTAATGTTGTACTTAATTCAAACAAGATTAAGTACAACATTAAAATGCAGCTTCATTTCAGTAGAAACTCAAATCAGAAACTTTTTGGGGATGAAAATGTCAAATCTTCACAAAGGCCAATTATCTTATGTGGGCCAGAAAAAAGCCAGGGAAGTCCCCGAATAGGAGTTCCATCACAGAAGGAGAAAGGAAAAAGGAAAGAGGGGGAGGGGATCAAGTTGATTCCAAGCCAAAGGCCAGGCGGAACAACTCTGTCTTACAGGCCCTGCGGAAAGAAATCAGATCCCACAGGGCCCTGGTCTCATGAGTCAGAGCGTTCCACCAGGCCAGAGCCACCACTGAAAAGGCCCTGGCTCTGGTTGAAGCTAATCTGACATCCTTAGGGACCTCTAGGGTGTTGCTATTTATGGACCTTAAGGGCCTTTGGCCTGATCCTGTAGGCTCTTCTGATCTCCTTCAAGGCTCCCATGGCCTCTCTCTTGCAGCCAGCAGTCTCTCCAGTCCTGATATTTATGTTCTGCCCCGCGTTGCCTCTCTCGCCCTCCCTCTGCCCTGAATCCTGGGCGGAAGGAGAATGTTTGCTTATTTTTTATTAACTGACATGTGCGACGCTGCTGCTGCTACCGTCATGATCTGGGCCCCCCAGCTCCAGTAGCAGCGGGGAGCACGCGCCAAGGTAAAGCTCAGGTGGTCCTGCGCGATGCAGCCGTCTCCAGGAATCTGGCTCGTGTCAAGGAGGGCTTGCGAGGTGGGGGGTTGGAGATTTGGGAAGGCAGAGCAAGCAAGGTCCTCTCCGCTTGCAGGGCTGGAGAGATCCTTGCTCCAAGAGCCTCACTTTGCAAGCTGTGTGGGAGAGAGAATTCCCACCCCAAGCCACGCACGCAGATCTGTTCAGCCACTGGGTTCTGCCCAGGAAAAGGAGCTGTTTCTTGGACGCAGCTCTGCCCTGACACGGCACGGGGAGCCTTCTGCTCTGGTTTTGTTTAGTCAAATAACAGCCCCCGTTTTTTAATGGCCTTTGCCTCCGCGCCAACAATGCCTGCTTCATTAGGAGGGCTAAGCCTGACTTGCTACGCATTCCTAGGTGGGATGGGCGCAACACCAGATTTAGGGCAGTCTGGGGACGCCAAGAACAGGGGGCAGTAAAGAATAATATATTTATACAGGTCCCTACTGCGAAGATCCATAAGAAAGCAACTGTACCAAAAGGAATTGCAGTGGATACTCGGGTTGCAAACATGATCCATGCAGGATGCACATTCGCAACCCGCAGTGGCGCGTCTGCGCACACGTGGGTTGCAATTCAGCGCTTCTGCGCATGTAAAAAGTGTGATTTAGCACTTTTGCGCATTCGCAACTGCCGAAACCCAGAAGTAACCCTTTTCGGTACTTCCAGGTTTTGGTGGTCCATAACCCGAAAAAACGCAACCTGAAGCATATGTAACCTGAGGTATGACTGTATTGTGAATGTGAACATAAATATTTGGGGGGACGTCAAATTTTGTCCTCACTTAGGGGTCGATATTACTCAAGTCCTGGTGGGAGGCATAAGCTCCCCTGCATTAGAAATGAACAAACAGCAAAACGGAGTCTGTTCTGGGATCTCAGGCCAGAGTTTGACCTTCTCCATAAGGGACACAAAATGTTCCACAAGCAGGATCGGAGCTCAGGGGTCCTCTCTCCTCCTGCTGTGCTTTCCAGCAACTGCTTTTCAGAAACATCGCTGCCTTCGGCTGTGGAGAGAGGACAGGAACAGATGCTGGCCTAGGTGGGCCTGATCCTGCAGGCTCTTACGGTCTCCCTGTAGGAAAGGAAGCCTGCCAAGAGGGAAGGCGAAGAGGTGCAGGTGGTCAGCCACATTTCTGTTTCCTCTTTTTATTTTCTTCCAATATTTATATGCCACCTAATGGCAGAAGTCCTCTGGGTAGCTCAGCGGGGAAACGGAAGCCCGAGAGAGGTCTGGGCTGCACTGCATCAGAGAAAGCTACTGCATACAGAGTCAGACCATTGGGTCCACCTGCTCAGTATCTGACTGGCAGCAGTGCCTCTCTGGGATTTCTGGCAGGGAGGGTCTTCCAGACCTATGTGGAGAGGCAGGCAGGGATTGTACCTGCGGTATCCTGCTTTCCAGGCAGATGCTGACTACTGAGCTGCTGCCTGTCCCCCTAACAGGGTCCTTTCTCTCTCAGCAGATCGGGGTAAAAATGGGGGTGGTGCCAGAGTCCCCCCTCTCCCTCCAGCCCCCTTGCAGGGCTCTGAAAAATCATCCCACTGTGGAAACCCCAGCAGGCTCTCTGCATTCCCCTCTTACCTGCATACATTAATACCCCTGCGCCCTCTAGTGAGCAATTGCAGAATAGCTCTTCCTACCCCCCCCCCACTGCACCCCCACCCCAACAGGCCATCCGCTGCCTTCTAGACTGCACAGGTGTCCTGGGAATTGCAGAGACCTGACCAGTGGAGCGGAGATGAAAGAACAGGGAGACATGTCCAAACCGTGCCCTCTGCTTCTGCAAGGCCACCCATTGACACCTGAAGGTAGATCTTGGCAGAGGTGGAACGATGCTATTGCTAAGTGGTCGGGGGGGGGGGAGGTGTTCAAAAAAATGGAGCCTTTCTTTAGCAAAAATAATCAAGGATCCGGATTGTATGCACCACGTAGCAATCGAGTCTTTAATCTATCATGCAAAGCGGCCACAAAGGCGATAATTGGCTGGGTCTCTCCACAATCGAAAGGGAGTCTTCTGCAAATGCGAAGAAGAAATTGCAGGATCAGGCCAGTGGCCCATCTAGGCCAGCTTCCTGTGCTCACAGGGGCCAGCCAGATGCCTGCAGAAAACCAGCAAGTAAGATTGAGCACAAGAGCGACACTCTCCCATTGGGTGGTTTCCAGACCTGGGATTCAGAAGCAGCTCTGTCCCCAATTGTGGAGGCAAAGCAGAGCTAGGAGCCCATCAAGAGTCCTCTTCTCCATGAATTTGTCTAATCCTCTTTTAAGGCCAACAAAGTCAATGGCCGTCACTGTCTCCTGCACAGGCGAGTTCCGCAGATTAACTATGCACTGCACAAGAAATGACTTTATCCGCCCTGAGCCTTGCAACCAATAATTACACACGCATCGACTTGACAGGGAAGCTGGTCACTTAGATCCACCCAGAGGTTCTCCTCTGCCACCCACCCACCCCACCTTGCCCCCCGTGACCTTGTGAGACTGTTCTTCATTCCCTCCCCACATTTCCCTGCTACCTGGGAGACGGCGACAGAGGTGGTCTTGCCCCACACTTGCTCAGGGGAAGCTAAGTAACATCACACACGTTGTGGTAGGGCTGGGATCCATTTCACATGGAACGCTGCGCTGAACTCTATAACCAAACCAACCCTGGAGCCACTCGGCAGGAATGTCTGAAATCCGGGAGCTTTTGAAGTTGTGGAATCGGTTGTTAATTATTATGTCTCCGAGTGCAGAAATTGCACAGAGACGGTGATATTTTTATACGCCCGCTGGAGACACTCTATCCGAGTTTTCTGGAGTGACGTTAGACAAAGGTCTCTTGACATTGGAGGAGTTTCAGTCCCCTTTGGACGCTCCCGACGTCTTTTACACGTCAGCTAGGGCGGCAGGGCCAGCTTACGGCGGTGATCCTTTGAGAGGCAGGACGTAATGGTTTCCCCAAGACATTTTACTGCCCAAGCGGCTAGACCACATGATCCAAGAGGAGCACATAAGGAAAAGATGCTGTGGTGTGACCCTTCCTCATAAACAGCCCCCCGCTTTCTGAAATTCTCATCCCAAAGATGCCTCTGGGATCATACTGGGGAGGCGCTTGGGGGTGACAAAATGTTTTCACTCAGCCCTGCAGCACAATCCTTGCACTCACGAATCCAGCTATGCAAAGGGTGCGGCTTATTGTAATGCATAATTTTAATCATCTGACAGCTAAGACACTTTTTTTTTTTAATGGGTGTGTGTTCAAAACCCTTTGGAATAGATCCATATGTTTTCAGAATTCATTTCATAAGTATGGCATGCATCATAAAATCATGGAATTGTAGAGTTGGAAGGAATTCTCAGGGTCATCTAGTCCAACCGCCTGCAGTGCAGGAGGAGGAACTCAATGCACTAAACCTAGGAAACATATAACATTTATTCAAAGTTGTGGTCATTTGGTATTGGCAATTTTTTTGGTGGAGGGTTGTAATTTGAGTGGTGGTCTTTGTGGGGGGGAGAGGACAAATCCTGGGTCTTAATTGTTTTCATTTTTTTTGCTGTGCTGTGGAGCTCCTGCCACTCCCTTTATTAAAACTTTTTTTAAAATAAAGATTAGAAAAGGATGTTTACAGGGTACCTTGCAAAGTGCATGTTTCCTGCAAGGCACCTGCCACCTTCCTTTGTCCAGAGACATCGATGTGTCAACACCAGCATCCCCAAATCTGATGCAAATTTGTGCAATAAGTCTGTCCCCCAAATCCCCCCCACACTGGAAAGGGAGAAGGCCAACAATAAAAGGGGGGGCGTGGAAGATAAATTAATGGTGCAATCCTGCTAAGTATGTTTAATCAGACATTGATCCCTTTGAACTCAATTGTATTTTGCACCCTGGGAAGTGAACTTAGATCTGCAACCCCAAAACCCTTTTCCTGGTAGCATCAGTGTGAAGCCTTCCAAACTGGAACATTCTGGAGGCTGGAACAACGCAAGAGCCCCGCAGGATCAGGCCCAAGGGGCCCACTCAGTCCAGCATCCTGTTGTCACAGCAGCCAACCACATGCAAACAGGATTTGAACTCCATGAATTGGTCCCATCCTCTTTTGATGCCCTAATATGCTTTTTGTGGGACAGTGATGCTCAATGCAAAAGGGGGCAGCTCTTTAAAGAGCAGAGACACCTTTGCCAGTCTCCTGAAGGCCCCTTGCGGCCGCCAACACCAGAAGCCGCTTGCTCCAAAGAGGAGCTGAATGATCTCGACTCTGAACGCCCAACCGAGCCACCGAGTGGAATGAAAACAGGATATTTCAAGCTTTATGGTTTTCCTTAGGCAGAACATTCTTGCACCGGTGTGTCTCGGCAGCAGGATGTACAGTGCGCTCCAGGTATGTGCGACACAAGAGTCTTTGCTGGGAACCTCAGAGCCTCCCTCTTGTTTGGCTGTTTTTTTTCTGGGTCGGGGTGGCGGGGGGTGGAGAAAGGGGAGACCTCCGGGTGACCTTTGGGTGGAGAGTAAATTTCAGATCGAGACTGGCACCACACAAATCCCCGGCTGCAATTGCCAGATACAATCTTCCTGCAAATATTCAGCCCCCGTTCTATACAATTGCAGCAGACGGAAGCTTTCTTAAGTGGAAACATCAAACGAAAGTCAACACCAGGCCTGTTTACGTGATCAGCTGCCCTTCGACAACAACTGAACTCGCTTCAACCTCCAAGTTGTTTGCATGCCGAAGGGGTGAATCCAGGTTTCAGGGGAGCCAAGAGGAAATCAGCTGCCCATGGCAAGGCCAAGCGCTCTTGACTCGCCTCTCTTTCATCCTGGGATGTGAGATCCAAGGGATGAACAGCAGCAGGGCTGTGAGCACTAGTGGGTAGAGCTTACAGGTCCCAAGGGAGTCCCACTGGGTGGCACCCCGGAAGGGTGCCTGGATATGCTTCCAGCATCCCCCAGAGCCCACAACGGGCAACACACTGAAATTGAGCCAGGGATGCACTGCTGCAGCACAAAAGACTAATGAGACTTATTTGCACATGCTTCCTGTCCACAGCTCAGGAGATCACAGCACTGATCTCACTGTTACCAGTATGGTGGTACCGGGCTGCCAGGCTACTGTTTTGCAGACCAGGTTTCCAAAAACATGTTGACAAATTGGAGAATTAAGAGGATGATGAGGCCCCAGTCTCCACAGTGGCCACCTGGTGTGGGCTGGCTTATGGCTTTCTGTGCACATCTGAGCCATGCGGCACATAATGCACCACGGTTCAGTTGCACACCAGTGACGCCCTGATGGAAAAGCCACACAGGAGGACCCCCATGGCCTGCAGCCGGGCACCATCTCAGCCCTGAAGGCTCAGTTCTAGATTCAACTCCATGCCACGCTGCACCAATTCTCAAAGCGTGCCAGTGCGGTGAAGTGGTTCGTGTGTTGTACTAGGACGTGGGAGAGACCAGGGTTCGAATCCCACTCGGCCATGAAGCTCAGTGGGTGACCTTTGGCCAGCCACTGCCTCTCAGTCTAATCTACCTCACAGGGCTGTTGTGGGGATGGGGTGAGCCATGCATACACCACCTTGAGGTCCTCAGAGGGAAAAGGTGTATACATGGCAAAAGATAAAATAAACCCCAGGGCCTTTGATTCAATTCCCTCCTACTTCGTAACAGCAGCAGCAGAAATCAGCCCCATCATTTCTATTTTATGAGCGTGAAAGTTTCAGTGTGCAAACCCTGGCCTTTTATTCTCATCATGCTGTTTTAAATGTGTCTTCTACATTTCACTGCCTTTAAGAATGTTTTATTTCAAAACGTTTAAGATAAAAAGATCACTCTTGCAACATTAAATGTATATTCTATACTTGATCTTGGCTTTAAAAAAAAACATATTTATGATAACGCTTTAGTTTCCTGTTATTTTATACTGCTTTGAATGAATATTTTGCATTTGATTCTTCTTCTGCATTTTTTATCATAAATTTGGAACGAATTATTTGATATTTTGATGCGGCTTGTAGATCTCTTTGAGATCTGTTTCCTTAAAAATATAAAGCGGTATGGAAATGGAAGGAATAATAATAACAGCACCCCTATTTGTTTTTTCCCATGGAGGGAGCAGGTCCAGGGGCGCACTCCTTGGCGTGCCCAAATGTGCTCCTCCGTTAAAATGAGTAAAACAAATCAAACAAGCACAATTCCGGGGACTTGCATGGAGAGGTCCCAGGCACTCCAAATTGGGGAACCCTCTACAGTAGATTTACAAGGAAAGGGGGCCTGTGCTAAGCTTTGTCCGAAGGAACAGACAGGACAAGTGCTCAAAACATAAGCCCCCAAACAATGTGCTTTGATCAGAGAGGGCAGATTCAGGCTCCCCCCGGTAGCAGCGAGGAACCCAGACTCTGAAAGCGCTTTGTCCTCCTCCTCCTCCTCACACACAGGCAAGCTCCAAAGCCGCATCCACACAGCGCTTGCACCGAGGCCTCCAGCCCTGGCCGCTGCTCAAGACAGGATACCCGAATTGATGGTTCAGTGGCCTTGCAAATCTTACATGCCGGTATTTTTGGCTGCTGGGGCCGCGATCGCAAGCAGGAGAGCATGTCTCGGGAGTCTGCCAGCTCCAGCGGAACAGAAAACAAAGAGAGGGCTCCCTGGCCTTGCACTTGGCCCAGGAGACGGGCGGGGAGAGAGGAGAGAGGAGGAGGAGGAGGAGGGGAAAAACACTCTCCAAAAACAGCTTTTTCAGCTGCCGCTTGGCACCCTACGAGTTAGGCAAGAGAGGCGGAATCGCTGGTTTTTCTTTCTTTCCAAAGCCATGCAGAGGAGCGCAGTTTGAGTCCCAGCCTTGAATGGGATGCCCAAACCATGGAATTGTGGAGCTGGGACCCCCCAAAGGTCATCTAGTCCAACCCCCTGACATGCAGGATTCACAGCTAAATGTGTGGGGCCAGAGCATTAGATGCTCTTAAGGCCAGCAGAGGGCTTTGCACAGAGGAGGGGTGTTACACTTTGGAGAACATTGGCAAAGTCCAGGCACAGGGGAGGGGGAGCAAAGACAGCCTGAGGGTCATGTGGCCTCCTGAACAACTTTTCAAGGGCCGCACGCTCAAGGTGGATGATTCAGGATGCAAGGAGCAAAAGCAAGAGGGGCCAAGAGACAAGTGTTTGCTGTTGCCTTAGCACCCACCCATAGGGTACCCACATTGCAGCCAGGCAGACCCTTCTGTGCTCACACCCCTCTCTGTCTTATCATAGAACTGGAGAGTTGGAGGGGACCTCAGGGGTCATCCAGTCCAACCCCCTGCAATGCAGGAATCTCAGCTAAATCACACATGACAGGTGGCCATCACAGCTGCACTTATAAGGAAGGAGAGACCGCAAAGCATCATTAGGGTTCAAGGGCTCATCCCAGCCAGTCAAAAGGGCTGGAGGAGGCCATGGGGGGGTGAGAGTCCAGACAGAGAGATTTGGGGGGGGGGGAATTTGGCCCCTGGAAAAGAGCCGACACTAGAAAGTCAGTGTGGCATCGCAATTAAGAGTCTTGGACTACGGCTGTGGTGACCCGAGTTCAGCTAATTCTCCCCTGGCCTCCTCACTGGCCCAAGCAGGATCAATTCAGCCAGCTAGCCTTGGGGATTATCTAATGCTTATTTCCCCTACATTGATTTTTGAATTTTATTGTTATTCATGTTTTTACACTGTATTTTATACTGCTTTTATAATTAAGTGTTTTAAACTTGTTGTTAGCTGCCCTGAGCCCGGATTTTGAACCGGGAAGGGTGGGGTATAAATAACAATATTTTATTATTATTATTATTATTATTAATCCCCAGTCAGCCAGCAAGCTCAATGGGTGACTTTGGGCCAGCCATGCCCTCTCAGCCTAGCCTACCTCACAGGGTTGTTGTGGGGAAGAATGCAGAGGACAGAGATGGGTGGGGGAAAGGAAGGGTGCAGCCTGAGCAGACAACCACGCTCTGTGCAAAAAGAAAATGACTAAGGCTGCATTGCAGGCGGGCAGGACTAGATGACGCCCCCAACTCCACAATACTACAAAATCCTATAATGCAAATAAATTGCTGCAATGCATTGCTTACTTCCGGGGGGGGGGGGTTAGGCAAAAGTGATGCCCTGCAGCAGGAGGAATACCAGGAAGAATGGATGAAATTTAAAGACTATTTAGCTAAATATGTTAAGATAATTTAATTGGAAAAGCTTGCAAATATTAGATAGGCTTAGGATATAAATATGTAAGGATAAGATTCAAGGTGTTTAAAGTTAAATTAGAAAGAATGAAAGATGTCAAGTGATCAAGTTAATTTTTTGAAAAAATCGGTTTTGGAAAACTGTTAAAATGAAATATAATGAAATTCAACCAAGGGGATTTGAGGAAGTCACTTAATAATGTTACCAAGATTTAAACAGGATGTATGCATGTATGTATGTTTTGAATTTTTGAAAATCAATAAAGAATTTGGGGGGAAAGGTTACTTTGCATACAGTATTCTGGGCAAGAAGCTACGCGGAGCAGGGAAGGATGTGCACACTGAGCTCTCCACCCCTTATTTCAGAGGGACTCCTGCAGGATTGGGGCCATTGCCTGCTTGGCCTTTGGAATGTGCAGGGAGGGGAGAGAGCTCCCCTTCAGTCACCAGCCTGATCAGCCCTGGGGCAGAGAAGGAGATGCTTGAGAAGGACAGGGGTGGGGCAGCAAAATAGCATGGAGAACATCCTTCAAAGGCCAGGCAGGCAGGCGTAGCAGGAGCACCGTGCGCGGCGGGAGGCCCCCTGACACCTGGACACATGAGGCTCACCTGACCCTGGCAATCTGGAAATGCCATAATTAAAGGGCAGCCCTGGAGAGGCAGAACCCATTCTCTCCCCCAAAGGAAACGGTTCCAGCTGGAGGGTGAGGCCCCTGGCACCAAGACTGCCTCTGGTTGAAAGGGACCCCTCTCCTGAAATCACACAGAGGCAATCTCCGGAAAGAGGCATCGCAGAAAGAACCTTTTGGCGGAGCCCCCTGACGTGCTGCATCCTTCTGCCATTTATTTCCCCCTTTCCTGCAGCAAAGAACGAAGCTGGAAGTTGGAAGATTTAGGGCAGAGAAAAGTGCTTCTGCAGAATCTGCGGAACTCTCTCCCACAGGAGGCAGTTAATGGGCACCGACTTTAAAAGAGGATTAGGCAAATTCCTGGAAGAGGATAAGATATAAATGGCTCCTAGCCAGGGTGGCTCTGGTTGGCCCCTGTAAGAATAGGATGCTGGACCTGGTGGGCCAATGGCCTCATCCAGCAGGCTCTTCCACAAATGACAACACTTTGGAGGTCCCAGGTCACAAGGTGGCTAGATTGGTCTCAACTAGGGCCAGGGCTGGACCATAGTGAAGTGAGAGCTGAACCATAAAGAATTGATGCTTTTGGATTCTGATGCTGGAGGAGACTCTGGAGAGTCCCATGGACTGCAAGAAGATCAAACCTATCCATTCTGAAGGAAATCAGCCCTGAGTGCTCACTGGAAGGACAGATCCTGAAGCTGAGGCTCCAAGACTTTGGCCATCTCATGAGAAGAGAAGACTCCCTGGAAAAGACCCTGATGTTGGGAAAGATGGAGGGCACAAGAAGAAGGGGACGACAGAGGATGAGATGGTGGGACACTGTTCTCGAAGCTACCAGCATGAGTTTGACCGAACTGCGGGAAGCAGTGGAAGACAGGCGTGCCTGGTATGCTCTGGTCCAGGGGGTCACGAAGAGTCGGACATGACTAAACGACTAAACAACAACAGGGCCAGGGCCTTTTCAGTACTGGCCCCGACTTAGTGGAACTCTCTGTCACAAGAGACCAGGGCCCTGCGGGACTTGACATCTTTCTGCAGGGCCTGCAAGACAGAGCTGTTCCGCCTGGCCTTTGGTTTGGACTCCGTCTGACCCCTCTGTTTCCCTCCCCTTATGGTTTTGATCCATGGGCTACTTTTAAATGAGGCTGCATTTTAAATTGCATTTTAACCTGTATTGGGTTCCCCCCCCCCCCCATTACGTTTTTACTGTACTTTTACTGGTGTTAGCCGCCCTGAGCTCGACTCTGGCCAGGGAAGGTGGGGGATAAATAAAAAAAATATTAATATTATTAATAATATTAATAATAATACCTGGAGAAGGTGCCTTCTTCCATGGCAGCCTCACCTGCATGGGGTCTTGGCCACAAAGCCTGAACATTCTGCACATGCCCAGAGGTGCGGGTTACAAAACCCACAGCTGAGCATAACCGCTGAGACAGAAAACTGTCCAAGTAATTTCACAGGAACTATGAGAACCACCCACCCACCTTGAAGACGGAGGATGTGGAGCGGGCTCCCAGTTCAACCTGTCCCCATGATGTCCTCCACCTACTGAGATTTGGGGAATGAGTGTTGTTGGTGCAGAGGGGGCGAGAGTGGGGAGGAGCCTCTCTCTGTTCCAAAGGCAAAGCAGAAAAATATTTAGATGTACCTGAAAGCCATTTCTGGTCTGTCCTGCCTTGCGCAGGAGTCCTGAATAGGAAACTGGAGGGGGCTGAAATTGAAGGGCTCTCGCTTCCTGCCGCTGGCAGAGGGGCACACCCTGTTCCCAGCCCTCCTTCCCTAACAAGACAGCCACTCTCCGAAGCAGCAAAGGCAGGCCTGAAGCCTGGAGGCCATCGGCATCGCAGCATTTCAGAGACAGGGGCCCATTCAGGGGAGGGGGGCGAGATGGGGGTGGGAGGCAATTTGCCCCACTGTCACCACGGCTGTTTCCAAAGTTTCATCCCCTTAGCACAGCTAAGCAGGGTCTGCTGTGGGGTTTCAAGAGAGATGGGAGCCTGGGGCGAGGAGGAGAGCAGAAAGCAGACCTGAGCAAGGCTGTCCTTAAAAACCAAATTAAACCCAAAGGGCACTCAAAGACACCCTCCTGTTATGGCAAGGCCAACTCTCCATTGCAACCCACCAACCCAGCCAGATGGGTGGGGTATTATTAAAGGGACCCCTGACCACTAGGTCCAGTCGTGGCAGACTCTGAGGTTGCAGCGCTCATCTCGCTTTATTGGCCGAGGGAGCCGGCGTACAGCTTCCGGGTCATGTGGCCAGCAGGACTAAGCCGCTTCTGGCGAACCAGAGCAGCACACGGAAACGCCCTTTACCTTCCCGCCGGAGCGGTACCTATTTATCTCCTTGCACTTTGATGTGCTTCCGAACTGCTAGGTGGGCAGGAGCAGGGACCGAGCAACGGGAGCTCACCCCGTTGCGGGGATTCGAACTGCCAACCTTCGGATCGCCAAGTCCTAGGCTCTGTGGTTTAACACACAGCACCACCCGTGTCCCGGGGTATTATTATTATTATTATTATTGTTGTTGTTGTTGTTGACACAGTCTCATAAGAATGTAAGAAGTGTGTGGTCGCTCAGTCCCAGAGAACCCATCTAGCCCAGTGTTCTGTTCTCACAGAGGCCAACCAGATGCCAGTGGGAAACAGCAGGATTTGAACACAAGAACAGCCCCCCTCTGGTTTCCAGCAACTGCGATTCAGAAGCATCGCTGCCTCCAAATGCAGAGGCAAAGCATAGTCATTGCAGCTGGCAGCCATCGATAGCCCTCTCCATCAATTTGTCCAGTCCTCTCTCTTTTTTGACAGCCTCCTGAAGGAGGTAGTTCCGCAGTTTAACTATACACCACACCAAGAAAAGCATGGTCATCTTTGAAAGACTGGCATTTTTGAATCACACTCCTGTGAGCTACTGGGACACATCAAGGAAGAGGCAGCGTCGCACAGTGGTTACAGTGTTGTGCTAGGGCCTGGGAGGCCACAGCTCCAACCGCCCCCCCCCCTTGGCCACAAAGAGCACGGGATGACCTTGGGCTAATTGCTGACTCTCTGTCCTACCTTACAGGGATGTTGTGGGGATTAAATAAGGACTAGGACCTGGGAGACCAGGGTTCAAATCCTGCCTCTGCCACAAGGCTCAATGAGTGACGTTGGGCCAGTTGCAGCCTCTGGGGCTTAAATGGAGGGGGGGTAACCATGAACAAACCCTTAGCTCCTTGGAGGAAAAGGTGAGATATAAATGCAATCAATAAACCTCACTGGGCCGGCTGCCGCCCCCCCCCCCCGAAAATGCCTGTGAACCCCGTGAAACCGGCTTCTGCCAATCTGGTGCCCTTCAGCCGCTTAGTGTGAAACGGGCAGAGGGCATCCCGTTGGAGAAGCCTGAGCGTCTATAGGTCCCAGGTCCGAGGGTGCCCTTCTAGTTGCGGGGAGCCGTCGAGCGGCGCGGTGGTCCCGCCTGGGGCATCGCCCTTTTAAGGCTGGAGCCGCCGGCGCGCCGCCGCGCCTTCCAGGTTACTACAGTTCAACTTCCCTACGTGCCGCCTGGAAGGGGCGGCCGGAGCCGGGGAGATTCCCGGCCTCGCCGACGGAGGGAGGCAGCCAGGGGCGGAGCCGCCGCCGCCGCCCGCCGTTCAGCAGGAGGACACCCGAAAGCCATTAAGCCCGCGGACGGCTCCCCCGACGGCAGCCCAGACAGCCTCGCCGCGGGGGTCGGCGGGCCGGGGGCGCCTGCGCCTCGACGGGGCCTCGACGGAGCCCCCGGGCCGGAGAGCGGCGAAGCCCACCCTCCACCCCTGCAGAGCCCCGGTGGCAAAAGCCTCCCCGACGGCCAGCAAAAGGTTCCGGGGCTCAGGCAGCCCGCCCGGCTGCCCGTCTCAAAAACACGGTCCGCTTCCCTGCGAGCCAGCCTTTCCTGGGGAAAGCGCTCTGCACGTGCTCAGGGGCCCCCGCGCACGTCATCCTCGCTGAAAACACCCGCTTCAAACTAGCTTTTCCGGCGGGGCGCGCGGATCACGGGATTTTGTCACAGAGCGTGGGAAGGGTCCGCGATGGTCTCCGAGAAGCGCGACTGAAGCCACCCGACGGGCAACCCTTTGCTGCGGAAGAAGCTTGCCGCGATCCTGCGCCTATTGCTTGCTCGCGAGTAAAGCCTCACGAGGTGGCTTAAGGGACGGTGACCGCGCGCAAAGCGACTCGATGGCGACCGGCGGAGGGCGGGGGGAGAGAGGAAAGGGCTCTCAGTGCGCGAAGGAGGAGGGGGCGCCACGTGTGAATGCGCTGCCCGACACCCCCCTCGCCCACTACCGTGTCAAGTCAGCGGAGCCAACCGACGTCGGGGTGCGGGGCGTTTGTCCGCAACGCGTGGCTAAGCGGCGTCGGCGGAGTCCCATCGCCCCTTTAAATTCCTCAAAGGCCGCCGCGTCTAATGTTGAGACACGGGGGGGGGGGGGTTTGGAAGAGAAAGAGGAAGCCCACGTGGGGCGGGCGAAGGGGAGGGGGCAGAAGCCGCAGCCCGCAAAGCATTGGGGAGGGGGGGGCGTTAGAAGATGACGTCGGATGGAAGAGACCCCCCCATACACTCCCCGAAATGCCCACGCAAAAGGGACCCCACCACCGACAGAGCTCGCTGCCACAGTTACTATTGGGTGGGGGGCAACCCTCACTCCCCACGTCAACAGCTAAGCCTCACCACGCGAGGTCCAAATGCCCCCCTTCTCATCGGATGCAGACACCCCCTGAACTCAGCCTTCCCCAAGGGGGGGCCCTTGAACTACAACTCCCACCAGCCCTCAGGTGCCTAAGGAGGATCCAGCCTCTAGCCGCACGGAGAGGCGGGCGCACTCTGCACATGCACAGACGCTCCAAAGTGATGGGTCAAGACAACGCTCCCTGCTTCTTTCAAAATCCAGACTAAGGCGACCTTTTCGTCCAGCCAACCCAAATGTCCCCCGAACTCTTCTCCGGCCAGGTGGGAAACGGGGGGCGAAATGAATTTTGGGCACCTCCTCCGTGCCAGCCCCCCGTTTTGCTGCCTCCTTCGCTAGCTCTGCTTCTCATCCAGCCTGGCAGGCGGAGAGTTCAGGACAACTCCAAACCTCACATGCGGTGTTACGATATTTTTGGTCGGCCTAACAAAAGCGTTGCCCTAAGATGGATTTTGGAAATTTTTTTTGTATTTGGCCAACGCAGCTAACTTAACTTACTGGTTGGCTTGGAAAAGGCTCCCTTTACAACTCTTAGCAGGTAAGGCTGGGGGGGGCGGGGGGGGCTGCAGCTTTGCAGCAGAGCTAAGTTTTGAACTTGCTCCAGAAATAAGCACATCCTTATTTTATCGTGGTCACGGAGCACCTTAGATTGGAAGTGATCTCTCTGGCCGCATCCCAACATTCTAGCTGGAATCTCCCTCCGCTAAGGCAGGGATTCTCAAAATAAATGTTCTCTGGGCCACACTTTCAGAATAAAAATTTGCCCGTGCCACACCGATTTTTTAAATTATTATTGATGAGAAATATATTGGGAGGGGAGGAGAGAAACAACAACTAGCAGTGCTTGATTTTGAAAACTCTGCAAATAAAAATACTTTATTTTGATACTATACTGCGCAATGCTACACTGGAATGTTTCAATGTTTCTTTGATTGCCCTTGAATCTTCCTGCCACACTTGGCATCCTTTCCTGCCACACCCTTTGAGACCCTCTGCGCTAAGGGATAATAATAATAATAATAATAATAATAATAATAATAAGTGCTTTTTCTAAAAAGGGGATATTCAAGGGCACGCAGCACCAGCACCTCTTTTCGTCGTTGTTAAAAAGTGCTGCACTTACTGTAACAACTTCAAAAAAGCACTGATAACAATAATAATTTTATTATTTGTACCCCACCCATCTGGCTGGGTTGCCCCAGCCCCTCTGGGCGGCTTCCAACATATATAAAAACAAAGCACAACATTGCACATTAAAAAGCTTCCCTAGGCTGCTTTTAGGTGACTTCTAAAGGTTGTATAGTTCCTCATCTCCTCTACTGGAGGGCGTTCCACAGGGTGGGTGCCACCACCGAGAAGGCCCTACGCCTAGATGATTTAGTTGTGATTCCTGCATTGCAGGGAGTTGGATGAACCTGGCTGATCCCTTCCAGCTCTACAATCCCCTCTCGCATACACATTCTCCTTCAAGACAGGCTGCCGCCACCACTCTTACCTTCCTCTTGTGCCGGTGGATGTCCCCGATGGAGTTGGCGACAGTGTTGGGCCCCAGCAACATCCGCGTGCTGCGGGGCCACTCGGTGCTGACCAGGCTGTGCTCGCCCATCAGGATCTTGCGGACGTTCTCGGCGCCCGTCACCCGGACCAGGGGGCGGCCCAGCAAGTGGGTCTTGAAGACGTTCCCATATTTCTCCCTCCGTGACGACTGGAAGTAGGAGCCCTGAAAGAGGCAACCGGGAAAACCCTCCTAAGTTGGGAGAAACCCGCTTCCAGTTCTGAGGTCCCTCTTGACCTCAGAGACATCCAATTTATCACCGCCATCCCCAGATATTTGAAAAGCCCTCTGCCTCCCCGCTCATCCCAGCTCTGTGAGCACCCGGTGAGCCTGCCTAAGCTGCAGCTCCCCAAAGCCCAGACTCACAATATGTGGGATTATAAAGCATATTTGAACATACGCAGAATGCCTTTTCCTTGTTGCATTACAACACAGAGAGAATTGGGGAGAAGGGCTCTGGTGCAGAGTGTGGCATTTTGACTGGCTCAAATCATGTCCTTGCCTTCCTTTGGGAGTTTAAGCATGGGGTGGGGGCATTCAACTCATGCCACCCTCTTTCAACCACCTTGCCTGAGTGGGTCCGTAATTTCAAGGAGCATTTACGTGCAGGGTATAATCAAAATTGGGGAGAGGCTCTTCCGTTCACAAAGGCCAATACCCCAGCCTTCTTCCTGAGCAGGGAGCTAAGAAGCAGGAATATAAGAATATTCTAGCATTAAGAATTCTGGGCTGCCTTGTTTTCCTTTTCCCTCCACATCCCTTTTTTCTTTAGTGTCATGTCTTTTAAAATGGCTAAACTTTAGGGGAAAGGAAAAAGAAGCTGCCGTATACCTAGTCCATCTAGCTCACTATTACCTACACTGACTGGCAACAGCCCTCTGGGATTTCAGGCGAGGGTCTCTCTCTTTGCCCTAGTGCCTGGGGATGCTGAGGAGGGACCCTGAGCCTGACCTTAGTTGCGCCTCCAAAGTCACCTGGATCTGCTGTGTTTGCATCTCTACCCCACACCAGTGGGTGGGGGTGGAGGGTCTGTTAAAAACTGGCTGGCAATGTAAATGCTGAGGGTTGACATTAGAGGGGAACAGAGAACGTGAGGCTGTGAAAAGGAATCCTCCATTCACAGATTTCCAAACCGGAACATTTCTAAATAAATGACAGGTGGAGCATTGGAAATATTATCAGTGGACGATGCTTGAGAAATGGGGGGAAACGGTGGCCCTGGTCTAGGGAAGAAAGTGTGAACTGCAGCCCTGCTGAAATGTATTGTGCAGAGCCCAGATTGCAGAGCAGGGGAGGGGGGCTGGGGTTGGAGCCACAACCCCTGGTGAGGCTCCCCTCCTCCCCTGTAGCTCTGTGAACTTGGGCAGAGGAGATCCAAGTTCAGCCCTTCCTCAGCTCCTCTGCCCTCTTCCTTGGTCAAGCCCACAAACATCTTCTAGATCCAGCAGAGCTCCTGCAGATGGAAGCCTGAGCAGATGGCTTCAGGAAGTAAGCCAAGTTACGTGTCGCAAATGAACACGTACATGCCTTCCAAAGATGTGGGGGCACCAGCAGATGGGATGCGGGAGGGAGGATACTGCAATGTTGTCTCTCATCTACCAGTTCTTCAGAAGCATAGGATGGTGGAGTTGGAAGGGACCCCGAGGGTCATCCAGTCCAACCCCCTGCAATGCAGGAATCTCAGCTCAAGCATCCAAGACAGGTGGCCACCCAACCTCTGCTTGAAAGTCTCCAAGGAAGGAGAGTCGTCGGATTCTCCTTTCTTGTAACTTGAGCGTGAGGAAAGGCCCACAGGGACGGGGCAGCCCTGAGCCCACCAAGGGCTGAAACTGACAGACCACCATTCCTCATCCATTCTATGGGCACAAGTTTGTCTCAACATTATCCGGATGGTTGTGAGGAACACAACTGATGCAACGGCTTGATAATTAGCGCTAATGAGCTGTGTTTAATTCTGGGGCTCTCGCCTGACCGGGAAGACCTGTCCCAACCAAAGCTATGAGGGATGGTCATTGCAATTGCTCGCTGGCTCCCTGCACATGCTCAGGTGTACATTCTGACCTCGTAAGCCCTGAAAAGAAGACTTGGGGTTCACCATGAACCTCGACAAAGGCCCTTCAATCACGAGGCAGTTACATTTGAGGTGAAGTGCACCCAGTGGACCTTCCAGGCACCCTTAGCAAACTAGAGTTCCCAGGATTCTTTGGGAGGACTCATGTGCTTCAAAGTGTGCAGTGGAAGTGATTTTATGTGGTTAAGATGCAAGGTGCAGATGTCACACACAGCTTGGGAGGGTTCTCACTGTTGTGGCTACTCCAGAGTCTGGCTAATGGCCAGTGGAAACCGGGGATCCTGCCCTCTCCTTTGCCTTGCCCTCTTAGGGTTGGAAGGGGAAGGAGCCAGCGCATGGGAGTTTTCGCCCCCCAAAATATTGGTGGGTTCCTTTCATTCAGGCAGCTGGTGGAATGAACGCACAAAGCGCGTCTGAGCTGACTTAATTCCCCCAGCTTTTACGCACACCCCTATCCCAAATTAACAACGATAAGAGAGCCGGCTCACCCCACTCCACAACCGCCCCTCTCCCCTTTGCTTTCAGCCCCATAAAGCTTCTTCAGTCATGTGCGTTTTTCGGGGCGGGGGTGGGGTGTGGACCGACTGCCTTAACGCACTGCAATTATCATTGACTAAGTCGTTGGACAGAGTTTGGGGCTTTTAATAACTTTCCCACATGCCGGTCCGGTCCTTAGCAGGGGAGAGAGCGTGACAGCAAGGAAAGGCGACCTGAGCACCCCTCCCCTGCCTTCTCCCCACCCCTCACACATCCTACACACACCTCTGCTACCTCCCCCACCTCCAGTACCAGCATCGGGTTTTTTAGGGGGTTTACGTGCCCTATAAAATTTCGGAGAAACTGTGCAAAGGCATCTGCCCCTTTAAATCCAGCTCTGCGGCTCTCCCCCGAGCCGCTGCAGGGTCTCTAAGCGAAGAGGGTGGCGGAGCCTTTGGGGGGCAGGTGGGGGGGGGCGGCGGGGGGCGCCCGTGTGTGCGTGTGTGTTTTTAAACAAAAGCACAGTTGTGAAGTTCAGATGTTCAGGTGACCCTGTTTCTTGATCTGCGTAAATATAATTAAAGTACTTTTTGTGGCATTAATAAAGGGTTATTTGTACAACATTTCCATCACTGTACAAAGGCCGCCTTTATGTGGCGAGAGTTTTCGAGCCGGAGTCCAATTTATACAAATTTTTTTGTATTTTTAGCCCTGGACTCTGTTTGGATGGAGCCTTGTGGAAAAGGGAGAACCCTTTCTCGGTCCCCCTGTAAAAATCTGATAAATTTCTTTTAAAAATAAAGCCCTATTGAGTGAGGGCAGTTAACCCTTGCGCTGCTGGCAGGGAGCTCCCCTCTCTACCCCCTCCATCCATGGAGGTCTCTCGTGCTAAGTCTGCGATGCTGTTACTTCTGAGTTTAGAGACGAGGACCCAGAATAGGGTTTTCCTCCAGCTGGCGGAAGGAGGACCCATCGCGGCGGGAGGTGTTCCAGAGCTGCACCCTCCGCGGGAAAAGGCAACCTGCTTGCCCCCCCCTCCCACCACCAACAAGACACGAGCCACGGCCATGTCGCAGCATCTCCGAGCAAGAGATACTTTCCTAAGGGGGGCTGCGGTGGGGGAGCTGCCCCTCCCCAAAGTTTAAGGGTTCTAGAACAGGTAATAAAGTTTGCGCATTTCGGAGAGGTGCGAGACAAGGAGCTGACGGGTGTCCTATTGAAAGGAGGGGGTTGTCTTTTGCTGGGTCTATCTCTGCTCCCCACCTTGCATCTCCCTCTCGGTTTAACTCGGGATTCTCCACGCGCGCGCACACACACACACACCCCAGTGATCGCGTTCCTCGAGAGGTTGTTCAGCATTTAAGAAGGTTAATCCCGGGTTAATCTCCCGATTATCTCGACCCGGGGGCTTCCCCGCTGCTTTGCTCAGCGAATCTCGAGATCACGCTCTCGGGATTCCAGGCAGAGGGAGCTGCCGGAGTCCGAGCGAGGCGCCGCTGCTGACAGCGCCACCAGCCCGCCCCCTCCCTGCGGTCCTCCCCGGAGCCGGTCCTTACCTGGCGGCTCGAGGGGGTCCCCAGACAGACCCCGCGCCTTAAAGGGGAAATGCAGCCCGCCACGCCGGCGCCTGCCTTCGGACCTGAGCGGGTCTTCCTACACTCGTTGGGCTGGGGGGAGAAGTTTTTGAAGAGAGCCCTCGTGGAAACGGGGAGGAGACCGAAGTGAGCCCAGCGCCCGAGCACCACGCTCGGCTGGAGGGAGGTCACCAGTTCCAGCCCCGGCTGCGAGGGAGGGCGCCTGACCGTTAAGCGGATCCGGCCCCTTCCGAGGCTGCAGAACCACGCGGCGCGGCTGGAGGGGCTGGGGGTGGGGAGACCATTCGCTTTGCAAACCCCTCAAGGATTGGCTGGGACTTGGAGAAGCTCGCCTGTCGCGCGCAGGACTTGCTCTCGAGGAAAGGGGCCAGGGATCGGCGCGCGCGGCATTGCAGCAACTGTGCAAGCCGCACGTTTTGTACGACGGCGGGGAGCCTCCAGCAGCCACACGGTGCGTCCTAGCTGCCCAGGACCCCCGGAGCTGGCCGGCCGGGGCGCCCGGCGGAACGGTGCTAGGAGGCCTCCGGCGAGCGTGGCTGCGTCTGCGCCGCTCTCCCGCCCCCCGACGCCGGCGGGCTTACCTGCAGGAGCCAGTGGAAGGTCTCTCCGACGAGCGGGAAGCCCATGGAGCCCTTGGGGATGGGCAGCTTGCAGCTCTTGTCGCGCGTGGCGGCCCAGCGGAGCTGCCACAGCTGCTGCGAGACGGCCAGGAGGAGCGTGACCGAGACGAGGCAGGCGACGACGGTGGCCAGCGCCGAGAGCAGGTCGAAGCCCTGGAAAAGCATCTTGCCCGGTGGCGCTGCTTCCTCTGAGGAGAGTGTGGGGGGCGCCCCCCGGGAGGTAGCCGCCGAGCCGCGCACCGGGCCGGCGGGGGAAGGAGAGAGAGGGAAAGAGAGAGTCGTCGGAGCGGCGCGCCGGGGAACGAATGCGCCCCGGCTCTGGGCAATTTGTGGCTTTTAGAGAGATTGGGGAGGGGAGGGAGGGGAGGGAGAGATATAAAAGCAGCTCCTCCCCACTTATAAAAGAATGCGAAAAAGGGGGGAGTATCAAAGGCGAGGAGGGGGCAAAAAGAACCTCAAAGAAACTCCGGTCCCCAAAAGCGACTCTTCCCAATTCTCCTGCTGCTGCTGCTGCTGCTGCTGCTGCAAACTCTGGCGGGCTTGCGCCAAAAAAACTTCACAGAAACTCTCAAATAACGAGGAAAGGGGTTTCTGTTTGTTTTGCACCAAAAAACAGGGAGGGGGGAATATAAATAACGACTTCAGGGTGGTTGTTGTTTGTTGTTTGTTTGTTTGTTTGACTCAAACGGGGGTGGGGAGGAGAAGCAGAGCAGCAGGAGGAAGAGGAGGGCGGGGGAAAAACCGGCCCGGAGGAACTGAGCGAAAAGCAGACGCGTCTCCAAAGCCCAAGCGAAGGCGCAGCGAGCTCTCCGGAGCAGGACGGCTGTGTTGCGCCCGGCGGCGGCTGGCTGCGGGTGTCGCTCCGTCCAACTTGAGCGGCTCTCTTGAGCGCCTCTGCCGGGGGCCGGGCTGGGCTAGGCTGGGCCGGGCTCGGGGGGAGGAGGAGGAGGAGGAGGAGAACGGGCGGACGGGGGGAGGGCAACGGCGTCGGCGCTGCTGCTGCTGCTGCTGCTGCTGCCACTTTCCAGCACTGCGCCTCTGCCGGGAGGAGGAGCCGCTTCGCGCCGCGCCAGTTTGCGGGGAACAGCCCCGGCGGGTGTTTATATAGAGGCGGCGCGGGCCGGTACTCTGCCGGCGGGCGGGGGGGAGCCCCTCCTCCCTCCCCTTCGAGGCGGGGGCGACTGCGACGACGGGAGGGGGGCAGGAGGCCGGGCGCTGGAGCGTGCCAGCTCTGGCCGCGGGCCCGCCGGGAGAGACGCGCCGAAGAGCCTTGCTGGACGCCCTCCGCCGCCAGCCGTCGGCGCTCCGTCCCTGCGGAGAGAAGAGCACACCGAGAGTTCGTCAGCCACGGAGTGGGGCCGTCCCTTGGCCAGAAGACGGCAATGGAGCACATGGACCCCCCAACCTGCCGCCCATCCCGTCTGCTGCTGCTGCTGCCGCCGTCGAGAGAGGAGAGCCGGCCAGCTCCCGAGGGGAGACCGGAGCGTCCCTGGCGGAACCACCAACGGACCACCGAGGGTGCGCCGGGTGGCCCCCATCCCTTGAGTGGCGGAGGGGAAGGAAACGGTCTCGAGCGAAGCGCCGCCGACAGAAGGAGAAGGAAGAGGAGCCGTTTCTCTCAGGGCCGCCGCCGGCCACAGGAGCTCCCTCGAGCCGTTGCTACATTTCGACCCTGTCGCCCAGAAGCCAAAAGGACGCCCCAAACTCCCATCACGGAAGGGTCCGTACCCACCACCGCTTCTGCTTTTATTTTCTGGGGTGCGGGGGAGAGGAAAGAGGGCAGTGGCGCGCGAGTCGCGGGGAGGCATTCACCTCTTAACAGTTCTTTGCTTCAACACAGGTCTCTATCTCAGGAGATACGGGGGAAACCGACCACCCTCTCCCGCATCTCATGGGAAGATCTCCTGCGCAAGCCCTGTTGCAATGGGCAGGAGGGAGAGGTAGAAGAGGCATTGCAGGCACCTCCGGTTCATTGCTAGAGGGGGTTGTTTCTTGGAGGGGTGCCTTGGGCAGGAGAAACTAACGCGCTTTGCATAAACGCCTGACTCTGGGCACTTTCTGGATCCGCCTGGCTGGGAAGCACCTGGGAAGCCAGGTAAGGCTCCCTTCAGGGGTAAGGAACACAGGTAGGACACGAGTCTTTGCAGCTTGAGGGGGGTGAGGGGGGCAGCGCTGTGCAGCAACCTGGTGGAACCTTAGAAAGTGGCACATTTTTGTGGCATAAGCTTTGGTGGAGCCCGTTCCACCCCCTTAGATTCATGGTTATACAGCAGAACAATTGGTGATACCATTGCAGCACAACCGGCTTAATTCTATAATATTAGGTAGTGTAGTGTAATAGATGGACCAACTGTTTTACAGAACCAACTTTTTTAAAAAACAAACAAACAAAGGAACACACCTTAAATGCACCTGAAACATGTTTGTTTTAATCTAAGTCTGCTGGTTCAACAGCTCCCTCACTTAGGTAGCCAGCTGGAGAGGCAGGATCCGGACTGCGTGTTAGAGTCACCCAGATTTAGATCCTAAGCCCACAATTAGGGGTTTCTTGGGTGCTTTTTATGGGGGAGGGAGCTGTCAACTTTTTATTGCATTTCACAGTAACGTTTTCTTTTTGCTGTTCTTTTAATATTACGTTTTCTGGCGCACTGTGCCATCTTTGCTTTTAGGCACCCAGGAAATAAATCACCAAACATGATGATTGCCCCCACAAAACCAAACCTTGAATGCACAGCTGTGAGAGGCTCACTGGAGACCCTCCCCACATGGGGATTTGACACCTGGCAGAGAGGAGTGAGGTGCCCCTAAAGTGCCTGAATCAACAAAGGTCTTCAGATGGGGTCCCATGTCCACACTGATCACGGAGGGACGGAGGCACCCAAGGATGGCTTGTATGAGTGAAAGTCCCTTCGAGAAATGGAACTGCCCTGCTACAAACACCCCTCGCATTTCAGCAGAGACAACCCACGCTGGCAATCGGTGGGTGGTGGATCTTGCGCAAAAGGCATGGAAATGGACTCTGCGGCATCGCGGCAGAGATGGAATTCTGGAGAGAAAGTCAATGCACAAACAGTGGTCTACAGATTGGTGTTTTCCCTCCCTTTGACCCCTAAAATACCGTACATCTCACAGGTCCAGCTCCCTGGTAACAGGTCCTTTCTTGGGGGTTTGTCCAGGCACATCATGCTTAGCCCACCAGAATGCCACTCCCAAGAAGGCTGGCCTCTGTTTTTCCCTAGCAGCCAGAAGGAATAGCACAAGTCAGGGCAGGTAACAGAGGCTGGCCCATCCTGCTGCTGAGGCAGCTGCCTCTGTTTCCTAGATGCCAGCCGTTTGCCAGTTCCAGGGCCAACATGGCTCATTTACTTGCTGCAGGTGTATCCCTCCATGGAGCTCAAGCTGGCATTGGTGGTTCTCCCTCCCCTCATTTAATCCCCACAGTAACAGCAACCCTCAAGGTAGGTTAGGCTGAGAGGCAGGGACTGCCCCCACCCCCAGGTTACACCCAGTGAGCTTCGTGGAGGATTTGAGCCCTGGTCTCTCCCAGGTCCTGGTCCGACACTCTAACCACTGCACCACACTGCCTAGCTTGAAGCTGCACACAGTGGCGTAGCGTGGGGGGTGCAGGGGGGCCGGCCGCACCGGGCGCAACATCTGGGGGTTAGGGTTAGGGGGCGCAAATCCATGGGTTAGGGGGTGCAAATTACTTGCCTTGCCCCAGGTGCTGACAACCCACGCTACGCCACTGGTGCAAACATAAAGCAATCCATACTGATTTGGTTTTGCTTTTTGGCATGGGGCTCGCTGACCTTCTCCATCAGCAGGAATAAAGAATGGGGAGTGGGCAGAGCAGCCCCCAAGAGTCAAAAGAGCCTTTCCCTATTGGGGTCTCCCCAGTGGGGCTTTTTCAGGCAGGCACCACCTGTTGCTGTGGGGAGTTTCAAAGGGGGAGTGGGGTTCAGTTGCCTTCCTTCTCTTGCTACCATTGTGGACTTCAAGAAGATGCGTCTTCCGTGGCCCAGCCCAGTTGAGGTCTCTTGATGTTCTGATGGCCAGCTGTCTGTGTGGAGTCCACGGGCTCAGGATGAATTAAGAGCCCAAAGCAGAGGCTTTTCGGACACAGCTGAGGCTCGCAGGAGAGACCTTTGCCGATGTGGCTTTGCAATGTAATGTTAGAAAGCACACCAGACCCCAGGCACACAGACCCAGAGCTCTGGCCTGCCTCTCCCCTTCTGCCTTAACAGCCCCATCATAGCTCAAGAGAGGCTCAAAGGTGACCTCACAGAATCACAGAGCTGTCGACTTCCAAGGGGACCCAAGGGTCATCTAGTACAACCCCCTGCAATGCAGGAACTGGATTGGCTCACTTGTAAACGGATTCGGATTTGTGGCAGAAGCATCATGTACACAGTTTAAAACAAATGCAGCCAGTGCTTTACCAAAACACACACTTGCAATCTGAAAGCAAGGGAGAAATCTCTTCTTTCCTGACCCAGAGACAGGCCCTGATCCAGAGACACAGCACTGCAGTCTTGTGTGTTTAACACCAACCAATCGGGTGGTCGGTGAGGCCAACTCTGCATTTTCTCTAGCGCCCCCACCCTCTCAAGAAGAGAGCCAATTGGTCAGGCAGCCCTCTGTGGCCCTCTGTGGGTGGCGCCCAAATCCAGCTCCAGCAATCTCAAGCCCAAGACAGGTTTGCCTGTGCATTTCCCAAGGCAGCAGTGGATCTTGCCCACTGCCCATGAGCAGATTTCCATAGCAGGTTCGGGTTCTCAGCTGGGGAGAGTAAGAGCCATGGATACCGGTGAGAAAGGAGACCTAGGAAGCCACGGTTCATGGGGGCTGATTTGGGATCACAGCAGTTTTGGAGATCTGCTTGATCACTGTGCCCCCAAGTGGGAGGGTGACTAAAGAGCTAAGACTGGGCTGGGGGGGGGGGGTGTGATCTTGCCCCACCCTGCTCCAAGCTGTTTTGCTTTCCCTTAAGCTTTGGGGCTCAATCACAGGAAAGTCAAGAAAGAGTTTCACACGCAAGATGCCAGAGAACTGTAGCCCCCAAGCAGAACAGCGGTGGGAATTCTCCTTGGCCGTCTCCCATGGATGCTTTAGCTGAGATTCCTGCATTGCAGGGGGTTGGACTGGATGACCCCGAGAGGCCCCTACCAACTCTGTGATTCCTGCGCAAACCCCACTGCAAAGAGTCCCAGCCGTGAAATCAGCAAACTTCTGCTTTTGAGCAACTCCCATTGATTTCAGCAGGGCCTGTGCTGGAAATCATGTCAATTCATGAGACTGGAGGGGTCATATGGCTTTGCGGCCCCCACCCTGCTCCTTCAGTCGTCCTCACCGCCTTCTCAAAACAAAGGTAGCTTAAAAGGGTCGACTTGTATCCCCCAAATTCAACTGATGTCCCACAAAAGAGATTGTTTTGTCTCGACAGCGTTTTGCCCCCAGCCCCAAAGCAGGGCTCTTCCGCAGCCTCCGGGGTCTGTGCAGGGCAGGTGGAAATGGCCCGGCCCCAATCCAGCCCCCAAGTCCAGCTGCTTTGGCCCTTTGCGATTACAGATCTCCCAGCCCACTCTTTGCCCTGTAACCCCACCTGGTGGACAATCCGGGCTGCGCAACGTTTTGTCATAAGCTCTTCCCTAGAATGTTGTTTTGTTTGTTTCGTATTAAAAATGCCGGGTTTGCTTTCTTTAAAAAAAAAAAATTATTATTATTACTCTACTGATCCAATCAATATCAGTCATCTGCCTACATTCCAGACTCTGGATTCAACAAGAAGGATTTTTACATCTTTGGTTTTTGTGCAAATGCACCTTCTATTTTTGCTGATGGCCACAGGTGGGGGTCTTCCTTGCTGCTTCCCTCATCCCAGTTAACTGTGGCCCTGAGACTGGCTGCAACTGCCACTCAGTGTGTCTGAGGCTGCCAGCCCGCCCCCCCCCCCTTTTGGCAAAGGGTCTTAAATCTGCAGGTGAACCTGGAGAAGGAGGGGGAAGGAACATTCGTTTTGCAAACAACTCCTTGGGATCTCATTGGCCAGTT